AGCAACACAGATAACGAAAAGGCAAAGAGAGAGAAGACAAACATCGATAATTTGGAGACATTCGGACTTATTTGCATTTATAATCACTCCAGCTTGTTTCCTCATACGTTTAATCTGCAACCAGTCACGAACCTGAAGTCGCTTCTCATTCACCAGCTTCTCGTTTGAATTATCCCGTTCCACCTTAAATGGCACAGCAGGACAGTCTGGCGCCTCAGGCACCATTTAAGGTGGAACGGGACAATTCGGTAAATGAGAAGCTTCAGCCTTGTAAAAAGTCTGACGTTGAGAGACATTTTACAAGAAACTTGTGGAAAAGTTTCCTGAGGTGCGAGAAAAGCTGAGCTAAAGCTTAAAGCAGAGCAAAGTAAGTCTGTGTCTTCATTTATATTTGTTAGCCTACGTTAACACATTAGCACACACCGAGACTTATTTACAGCCAAGATGGTAAAACAGACATAAAATGTTGTGGCTCCCAAGGTGGTTTCATTTTTGTTGAAAGGACAAAATGGCTCTTCTTAACATTTCGGTTGTGACCCCTGAGCTAAGCTTACTATAGTAAGGGGTGGTCAGCGTGTGCCTGTTTGCTGAGATTGTCGTTGCCGCAGAACCAGAAGTCCAGGGGGTACGGCTGGATCTGATCCAACTCCTCCTACGCCGTGTTTTAATTGGTCTGAACTAAATCAGACTCCACCCCGCCCCGCTATACCTGCCAGTCAGATTCAAGTAAAACGTAATCAAGTGTGAATGTGAAAGTAAGTACATAATCTAACACACATTTTCTCTCTCTTATGAAATTCCAGGATTTAGTTGATAAAACCCAGTTACGTGGGTTATTTTGACCGGTCATATGTCCATTCTAGCGTTTAAAAACGTTCAGCGTTTTCAACTGGAACCCGTCTACCATAAGTACACTTGAGATGTAGGCCTACAGAACGGACTTTGTACCAGAATGTGAAAAAAGCTTTTCGAGAACTGACAAATGAGTGTGAACGTCGTGAGTCATGAGCGGTTATAAAGGCTGTGTTGTGGCATTCAGGACGGAGCGACATCGAGACAAAAAACAAAAACACCAACACTTTCCCACAGGTAAAAACGCGACAGGGTAGACCAGTGAAATGAGTCGTAGGCGGAAAACGTAAGCGACATACTGATTTAAAGACCAGTAGAAATGTGATGATTTTAGATCAATGAAAAGAAGACGTGGGCGGAGTTGGATCAGGTCCGGCTCCACCCCTTTGGTTCTGCAGCGAGTGATAGTTGGGTGTTTGCTCAAGCTGTCCATGGCTCAGTCAGGATTGCGTAATCGCCACCAGCCCAGTTAACGGCCGTGTTCTATGGTTCAGATTTGTGTGGACTGACTGAAGCCTGTAGTGAAACTGTAGCAGAAATTATCGCTATAGCTACACAAAAATTTGTAGGCGCTACAGCTACTAGCTACAAAAAATTGTAGTTAGTTATAAAAAGTAGCGCGCTACTCATCTACTCCCCCATCTCTGTCTATGGGTGTACATAAGCTTCCATGACTTGTTAGCTACATTAGCCTCGTAGCTCCAGTGCAAAGCTAAAGAAATGTCAGACACCAAACTACATTTACAGCCAGGGGGAAAATATCAGCAAACTACCGCTTGCTCAAAGCTCGAAGGCTGTTTACATGAAGGCGGCGTCAGTCTGCTTACAGGTGTGTACAGGTGGCCTTTCCGATGCTCCTTGGTTCAGTAATGTGGCGCAGGCAGGATATTGTTGATGCCACTTTAAAAATAGCCGTATGCTAAGGACCTGTGGCCATGTGAGGATGGGCTGGGTGAAATTAGAACTTGACAATACAGCTGAACCCAGCACTTAAGCCTCCTCCTTGTTTAGAGCCCATGGCTATGAGTTTCACATTTCCTGTGGCCCTGTTTCTCTCCTCCCTGCTGACAACCGACTTAAACGACCTGCATACAGAACACAAATTAACTCCACATGCATTGCAAGCAATTATGACTGACATTTATTTTCAAGTGGAATCAGGCCCCTCTGATCAAACTGATGTTAACGGGTCCACCCTTCTCTCCTCCAGCCAAACTCAGTACTGAGACTGTGCCAGTCCAAACAATGCTTCCCATGACACTGTACGCCAGCGAGTGAAAACAGAGAGGGAAACTGGAGACCTTCAGAACGTCGAGTCAATAGTGGCTGCTTGGAGCTTATTATTTCCACACCAAAACATAACTGAACATCAAACTTCGGCAAGTGTTTCAATCAGTGGTTTAGTTTTTCAAATTAAAGGGCCCATATCACTCTTCTGAAATAAGCGTTTAATGTAGAATGTAATCACTTTTTCAGCACACACTGTTCACTCTCCAGCCCACTATCCATTTTTGAACAATACATTTTTTGAACTATTTGAATTCATTGTTTTTGTGATGCACCATGAAAAGCAACACATCCGCCTGTTCAGCCTACAGCAGTTTAGCTCCGCCCATTAATAAGGAGTGTTTCAGCCCAGACTCTTTTTAATTTGGCAGCCAATCAGAACAGAGCTCATTTACATATGTCGGTCTTAAAGGCACAGTGACAAAAACAGCCTGTAGTGAGCAACAAAGAGAGACTGGAAAATGTCATATAAAAGCACTTTATATTAAAAACTGTTTTGAATGGATGTACAGCGTTTTGGAATAAAACTTTCACATATACAGTCGTATGCAAAAGTTTGAACACCCACAATCAAATTCCATCATGTTCTATATATTCTACGGAGAAAATATATATATATATACGTTTCACCAGACAATCACCATAATTGGACCATAACTGAATTTAAATGTAGGATATGGGCCTTTAAGCACTATGACTTTAAGCACTATGCAAAGTGGGTGGAAGGACATTTTTAAGCCCATCCAAAACAGAGAAAGGCACAGTAAACACTATGAATGAGTTACAATTGAAATAATGAAATAAAACAGTTTTCCTTTTTTTACTTTTATTCAGCAGAGCTTAATTGCTCAAATGGACGAGCTGCACCTTATTCAATCATCAGTGAAAGCAAAGCACTTCAGTGGTTCACCCCACTCACCGACGCTGAACATGAGCTGTGATGGAGCCCCTGTCCATTTGCTGGTCTGAGATAATCCTTTAAACCCCAGTCTGGGGGACGTCTCAGTTTCAGCCGAGACCAATCACAGCTCTACTCGTCTAACTGAGGCCTGCGAAATCCCCTTCTCCTCTTAGTTGACCTTGAAGCTACAGTGAGGCACATGCTGTCTTTTCACCTCTATGTATGGTCTGGAGCTAACAACTGCAACCTCTGGTTTGGATTCCTGACAAGAGAAAGCCTCTTACGTTCGTTTGACATTTAGGATTACACCAGAGACGCATGTGCACGTTCATAAAACACTCCAGCTGTTTGGAAATTACGCAATCTCAGGCAGAAATGTGGATCACAGAGCTACTACAGCTTTCTGACCAAGTGTCTGAATGCTAGGAGTGTTTCACAAAGCATAATCTTCCATTCTTTTTGTGCTTTTGTCCATCAGTGTTGTCTCACTACAATACCCAGCATGCAGTTCGCAAATTCATCATATAACTATTGAGAATGCCGCCCCCACTCGCTGCTAAAGAAATGCACTAATAAATACTGACGTGATGTAGGGCAATATTTCCAACACTCCACCCTCAAGGACACGCCCCAAAGCACTTGTAGTTTTTCAGAAGCTCCTCCCACCTTCCAGATGCATCATCAGAAAGGGGTTTTCCTCTCTGTAAACTGGAAAATCTCACTCTCAAGTCTGTTATGGCACCACAGTAGGAGGCGAGTAGGCATGTTTACAACAGATCTAGCAATGCTGACATGGTTCATTTTAGCCACAGTGCTTCTTTAAAGGGGAAGTCCACCAGTTTTTCAGAATTTCTGAATAATGTAGTCCTTGAGATGTAAACAGTCATTCAGAATGGTTTGATGTGAAGTGGTCCATTGTAGAGAAACTTTTCTTTACAGTGGTGGTGACAGGAACAAGGGGCTTACTATCCAGGCGGCACTGAGGTGCAGTGGGTAGAGCCTGGGTTTGATTCCCCTGCCAGGAGGCCAGAGTCCTTTTCTGTGTGGAGTTTGCATGTTCTCCCTGTGTCTTTGTGGCTTTCCTCCCACAGTCCAAAGACATGCAGTCAGGCTAATTGGACATGCTAAACTGCTCCTAGGTGTGAGTGTGTGTGACTGGATATGTCTGTCTGTCTGTCTGCCCTGGAATGGACTGGCGGCCTGTCCATGGTGTATCCTGCCTTCTTCCCAATGACTGCTGGGATAGTTTTCTTTGGGGATTGTTTTGCCTCACATCACCCTGCATCTACTCCTCTGCCATGAATGCATTAAAATGGATGGATTAGACATCGAGCAGCACATATCTAACCATTTCATGTAATATCTTTCTGTGATGGAGCTTTTAGAGGTGGACGTCTGGTTCCTATCACCACCACTGTGAACAATTCTGACTCGGTAAGTTTCTCTAGAACAGAGCGTTTCACACCAAACCACTCTGAACGACTTTATTTACATTTCAACCATTTAATTATGCAGAATTTTTGAAAAATGGAGTTCCCCTTTAAGGCAAAGGTCCAGCCCATTCTCAGCACTGCAGTAACACCGACATGGTGGTGGTGTGTTAGTGTGTGTTGCGCTGGTACAAGTGGATCAGACACAGCAGTTATTTTCACTTAGAAAATCAACAATAGATGTAATTTGATCAGGGGCACCCAAACTTTTGCATACAACTGTATTTATTAAAAAATACCATCTTTACAACATCATGCGGAGTGAATACAGAAAAGTTAGAATCTCTGTTCTGTGGCGGTGCTGTCTTACAGAGAATGGAAACAGGCATCTCCTTTTAATTAGGAAGATTAGGATGTCTATTTATTAATAGACCTAATAGACCCACAGAGTATTACACTACCCACACACACACACACACACACACTACCGTCTGCTGTCAGCACTCAAATCTGAGTGTCTGGGCGCTAAAATATAAACAACCTTGGCAGGACATCAAAAATATACTGCGTCCCTCCAGACCTGAGCATGGATTTATTTTCAAGAGCCAAAGAACGCGACACCGTCGCTGGTTGAACAGTGAGTTTGAGTTACTTCTTTCCTTTCTTCTTGGCATCTTTGCCTCCTTTCGCTGGAGCTTCTTCCTCATCCTTCCCCGAGGCAGCTTTGACTCTCTTCCTCCCGAGAGGAGTCTTAGCGTACCAGGCCTGTGGAAAAACAGCACATGAGTACAACGTATGAGCCGGAATTAAATCTCTTAAACTGCCTGCACATTACAAGCCTCATCGCTCAAATCCGACTTTTTGCTCAAATCCGATCTCTCTGACACGATGGTTCACACTCGTTTAGGTAAGTGACTCAAATCTGTCATTAATGTGACGAACCGGCGTCCTGAAATGACCTGTCTGAGCACATCCTACTCAGTAACGTCACGTGAATGAATCACGTTCATCATCAGCACAAACTAACGAGCAGAACGAGCTTCGCTGAGAAGATAATTAACTCTGATCAGCTCTCAGCTTCATTATTAGAGCGAGACGAAGGAGAAAAAGGTGAGATGAGCTGCTTTTCCACCGTTTACAGGCTTTAACGTCTGTTCGGCGCTGCTGCCATGGTAACGCTGAATGATGGCGCATGGGCAGTGAAGAAAAAGCACATGAATTCAGATCTGAGCGTCACATTAAGGTCGCATGGCCATGAATCGGATATGTATCTGATCTAGGACCACATATGAAAGTGGCTCAGGTCAGATTTGAAAAGATCAGATTTGTGTCCACACAGCTCTGAAAACATCAGATCTGAGTCAAAAAACTGGATTTGTGCCACTTCAGCCTGGTAATGTGAACGTAGCCTTATACAGGCATATGCAAAGGTTTGGGCGCCCATAGTCAAATCATGTAATTTTCCTGACTTTCTAAGAGTAAATAATGCTGCATGTGAGGTCTAGTTTCCTCCGAGAAGGAACCAGACGTGCGTTTATGAGAGATGAACTAAACACTGTCTAAACACTGTTTTACTGGTGGTTTCTGAACTCAAATGAAGCAGAAATGAAATGTGCGTTAACTGTACATTTAAACTGACTTTACCCTTACAACTGATTATTTTTGTACAGTTTATCTGATTGCTTTCCACTCGTGGACTGTTTGCTTCTAAGCTCTGCCATGATGAAAACAACGTTGACGTCATAGCTCAGCTGAACTGTGCTGCATTGGAAATATCGATGTACCTGATTTCATCCAACTTCGAAGAGTGTTTATGTGGTGCCTGATGGCGGGAAACTCATTTCTATTATAAAACTGAGCCAACTTAAAAGGAGTAGATGTACATATCCTCTAAAGGGAACAAAATTCTCCACATTTTAATGTACAATTAGTGCTTATCTGCTAAATTTAACATATTTAATATGTCAAGGCACATTTTATACTGCATGTTTTCCTCTTTCCAATTAGTTTAGACTCAGTAAATAAATGGAAACTGTGCGCTAACATTTGTACAAACATTACGTATTTAAGTGTGTTCTCTGTACAGGATGTGTTAACTTATTTTCAGTTAGAAAATCAATGTCTAATTTGACCAGGGCGCTCAAATCTTTGCATTCGACTATACATACAATTATCGAACTCTTTCTATTCTATCAGATTCTATAAGATGTATTTTTTCTGCCTTTTTATTCCTTCGGCAAAGGAGTAGTACAAAAGCATTGAGAGGAAAAACTCCCACAGATATCTTCGACTTCCACACTGTTTCTTTACTTTGAGGGCCTCCTCTTCATCCTGGAACACGGGGTCGGTCCTGGCCAGATGAGCGACAAACTCGGCTGAGACTAGTGGTCGTTTAGCCAGCTGCTGCATGCGCCGCTCAGTCAGGATGCCTCGCACCACTCGCACCATTTGACCCTGCGTGTAGCCATCTGAGATCTTGGCCAAGGAGCTGAGGTCCAGAGCGCTGGTCACCACTCCACCATTACGCTGTATCAGCTGCTTCCACATGACTACAGAAAGACACACCAGGAAATCTTTCGTTTAAAGGAATAATTGGGTGCAAAATCTAATTTACACCATTTCCCCTATTTCCCCCAAATGCAGTTATGACATGTCTGTATGGTAATATCTGTGACACTTTTTCTTCTACATGCCATAAGATCATGAGCCGAAACCTACTGATGGCCCCGTCTTGGAGGAAACTTCTATACCTGCAGCCTGTTAAGAAATTTAAACACTTTTAGCCAGATGCTTGATTCTATGTACATGGTAAAAGGCACTCCCACCAACATACAAATGGTGGGTGAAGACATTTATGTCATATCTAAAACTTGAGAAGCTGAAATGCCCAGTCCAAGGCTCATCCCTTAAGTTTTTCAAAGTCTGGCAGCCACTTTTGCAGCATTTTGAGAATACATTTCAGCCCATAGTGACTTCAGAACAATGACCTTACCTTTTTCTCTTTCCCTCCCCCTTTTCTCTCTGGTTTGACAGGTTTATTTAGGCTTTTCTGTGTTAATCAGCACTGATTATGTTTCTTATTCTTGTATACTGCATGAAAAATCAATATAAATGTGTGAAAAATAAAGACACGTTTGTTGCTTCTTTAGTTCAGCACTGAAGTGAGGCTAATGTAGACAATAAGGTATGCAGTCTTACACCCCACCAATCAGCCTTGTGCAAACCGTTATGCAAACCAGATGATTTAAGCCTGCATGCATTGTGTACAATAATTGGTGGTGTTTACGCTTCCATTTCTTGTTAGCTACATTACATTGACTCGTCAGCACACCAAACAACAACTACCCCTTAAATGGCCAGGGCCCAACAGCAGGCCCAAAGTTTTACTACACACTTTTATAAGCCAAGAATAACTCTAGTTTGCATTGTATTCCATGTAGTTACTGAATAATAATAAAGCCTGTGATTTTAAGGGGTTAAACAGACCACTTAAATGACTCTGATGATGCAAGTAACGGTAATACTGCTGCATAACATTGACATAACCCTGCCACAAGCATGCAATAGAATATATAATATGCTGTCATGACAGATTATATCCAGTAATACAACAGTGTTGTGTTGCCATTACCGTTAACTGTCATGACAAATGCCGTAATGTTTGATGTGATGACAGCTAATTTTTGCTGTGTGCTGTGGTTAGCAGTCATGACGTCATACATCATGACATCTGTCACGATAATTACCAGTAATTGTAACATGACACTTATATTACTGAACAAAATCTGTGACATGACAACTGATGACAGCATATGAGACCTTCCATGACATGTTTATGGCAGGGTTATGTCAATGTTATGTAGCAGGGTTCAAGTAAAGTGTAACCCAAGTGGCTTACTAGCTCTACAGCGGAGGTGGGCCGTATAATAGTTTATCATTACTGAGATCAATTTTATAAACAACATGCTTTTCTGAGCAAATTGTGTGTAACATTAGTAGTTAAAGAATACTGAGCTGCTGCATGTTTCATCAAAAAGTGAACATAATCCTGTTCACAGTCCTGTTTAACTGGTTTTAGTGCAGTATAGAATATGAGAAGTTGAATAAAAATCATTGTGAGTTTTTGATGGCTGTTTATAAATGCGGCACTACTAGTGAACTGCATCTGCCTGTCAAAATACTGTGATACATATCATGTATTAAAATGATATTATCACCCACCCCTACTCAACAGTATCTTTTAAAAACGGATTAAAAAAACAGAAATCTTTATAGAGGGAAACTGGAATTACCCATTAACTGAAAGGGCAATACTGACACTTTTGAATCACAGCTGAGGTGCTGAAATGTGAGTCTTTGGATCACATACTGTATCTTGAGGCGTAGTCTGGTCGTGGTATGAGGATGATCTTGGTGTAAAGCTTGCATAGTGATTTCAGGTCTGCATTGAGTGGACTGTTTGTCGTTCCGATGATTAGAACACGGTCTTCACCTTTAATACTTTTAAGGATCTTTGGCAAGTCTTTCTTTAGTCGCTTAGGATCTAGCTGTGAATAAATTTAAAACCAGCAGGTAGACATAAGTAAATGTGAGCATTTTATTATAAAAAAAATCATAATGCAGACATACACCGCTCAGGCATAACATTATGACCACCTCCTTGTTTCTACCCTCATTGTCCATTTTATCAGCTCCACTTACTATATAGGTGCACTTTGTAGTTCTACAGTTACAGACTGTAGTCTATCCGTCAGGACCCCCATGGACCCTCACAGAGCAGGTACTATTTGAGTGGTGGATCATTCTCAGCACTGCAGTAACACTGACGTGGTGGTGGTGTGTTAGTGTGTGTTGTGCTGGTATGAGTGGATCAGACACAGCAGTGCTGCTGGAGTTGTTAAACACTGTGTCCACTCACTGTCCACTCTATTAGACACTCCTACCTTGTCAGTCCACCTTGTAGATGTAAAGTCAGAGACGATAGCTCATCTGCTGCTGCACAGTTTGTGTTGGTCATCCTCTAGACCTTCATCAGTGGTCACAGGACGCTGCCCACAGGACGCTGTTGGCTGGATATTTTTGGTTGGTGGACTATTCTCAGTCCAGCAGTGACACTGATCCACTCAGACCAGCACAACACACACTAACACACAACCACCACGTCAGTGTTACTGCAGTGCTGAGAATGACCCATCACCCAAATAGTATCTGCCCTGTGAGGGTCCATGGGGGTCCTGACCACTGAAGAACAGGCTAACAAATTATGCAGAGAAACAGATGGACTACAGTCTGTAACTGTAGAACTACAAAGTGCACCTATATAGTAAGCGGAGCTGATTAAATGGACAATGAGCGAAGAAACAAGGAGGTGGTCATGATGTTACGCCTGATCAGTATATTTCGCAAATTCTTAATCTAATGGTTACCTCTTTCTCCTCTTTTGGTACTTTTTTGTAAAACATTTTTTCGGCATCCCCGATCCACACCACAGACGGCTGCATTAATCTGGCAACCTGGATGCATAAACCAAGAACACTTTCTTTAGCTGTTATAACAGTAATGACCAGCCCCTGTCCTGAACTGCGCTCAAAACCACATATTACTATACTACACAAATGAATGGACCCCTATAGGTAGTGTACTGTTTTTGACATACTATTTAGTATGGTAGCATGTGGTTTTGGAGCACACCTTCACTTCACGTTTTAGTGTTTCACTTTCTCTAACATACCTGATTCAACTCATTAGCTAATAAACAAAACACTTCATGAGTTACAACAATGTTAGAAGCATGACTGCATGACATGAACAAAATACCATATAGTTGTTATATAGATACAGTATTGTAAAAAGGTCAGAGACCACCCTTCATTTATCTCATTTCCAGTCAAAACATTACTTTTCAGGAGATATTTATGATAAGATGTCAGAAAATCCACTTGCACAAGGAAGGAGAAAGTAAAAAAAATATTAAAACACAGGTGTTTCCAAAACTGAGTTTTTTTATTTGAAGACAGAGAGAGAATGGGACTCTACCTACGAGACCTGGTGGACCAGCAAAACAGCCCCCATCAGCACCCATGTTTTCAGATCTGAAGCAGCTTGAGAAAGACAAGCTGCTTCAGATCTGAAAACATCCACAGGTGTTTCTGTCCATCTTTCCACTGCGAGAAGACGACTCAGCGCTGTGGGTCTGAAAGGATGTGTAGCTGTCAAGAAGAACCTCACTGAGAAAAGGAGACGGACACATCAAACAAAGAAGCTGAACAATGAACTGACCACCCCAGAGTCCAGACCTCAACACCACTGAATGTGTTTGATTACTTCAGAAAATGATCAACCAGCTTCTGAGACTGAACTTTGGAGGTGTGTCTGCAGATTCTTTGAGGAACTGAAAGTGAGTCTCCTGAAAAGAATGAGCTGAAATAAAAGTAAAGAGTGACACACTGAACACTGAATAATGATATTTAGCTGTTGAGGCTTCTGTGTAATTTGTCTAACACTGAAAAATAACTATTTTTACTTATTGGTGGTTTTGACTGGAAATTAAATTAATAAAGGGTGGTCTCTGCAAAGTACTGCACATACTGCGAGTGTAAAATCTCTTGCAATATAATACATATTTATTCTAACAACCAGAGCACATTTGTGATTGGTAAGGATGCTCACAACATACAACAAACATACAAGATTGCAGCCTTTTGCATATCAGAATAAAGGCCAATATCACAACAACAGTTAGCATAAAGATAGGCTGTGTAGCCCTAGTTGAAAGACCCAAGACAGACTGAGAAACTGTAATAGATCACATCAGTAAGACAAACAGATGTGCAAAAAACAGTGGTTCACAACTGCTGTGCACACCCTAAAGTGGAACGATATAGCCGGGACATAACGGTCCGTATCTCCGAAGCGATGACAGGTACGTAGACGGCACCAGGCTCTTTGGAAGCGGGCAGAGAAGCAGTTTACAATGGTATAAGTTAGGTGGATGTGGGGAGGATTTCAGGTCTGAGAAACTGTATAAGATCATATTAATGAGACAAACCGATGTGCTAAAACACTGGACTACACCTACTGTGCAACACTCTTCACACAGCAGCATGCCTGCTTTACCTTAAACACCAGGTGAAGCATCATCTGCAGGCCGCTCTTGCCTGGGTACTTCCCCACCAGGTTTAAAGGGGAAAGATCGAAGAGGTTGGCTCCTGTCTCCTGACAGATAGCATGGACTAACATCTTCTTCCCCACTCCTGAAGGCCCCACCAGTAGGATGGCCTTCACCAGAGGGGCCTTCTCATGGACCACCTGAGATCCTGTAACAGAGTAAAGAGAGAGAAACACTTCTTGAAAAGATTGTCAGTTGTTTCAAGACTAGTCTCTGTCCGGTGCAGTGAACACGATCAGAATGCAATGGATCCTGATCCACAACCAGCTTATCGTACAATAGATATTAGACGCTTTGTGTGCATGTGGGTGGTGGGTCTGAGGCTAAGACTATTTAAGAACAAGAAGAATAACATGTGAAGTCTACTTACCTAGAGGTAAGACAGCATAAAGAGCTGTAACCTGCCGTACATCGGATAGGGAAGGCATGGGCTCTATGTCCGTCTGCCGAAGGGTCGTGCCAAGGTAGCTATAGTCCCCTAAAGGATAAGGAAACACTAAAGAAATCATACAAATACAAATACCGCTGACATACCGTAACTGCCCAGGCCATAAACAGCACAGCTGATGCTCCTAGTCCCAGTTTCCAGTCCTCTGCTTATCTCTGTCTGCAAGATGCTAAGAAATTGATCCTTTTGTGTTTTCTCGACTCGACTACTGTAATGCTTTGTTCATAGAACTTCCTGCAAGTACAACCAACAAATTACAACTTGTGCAAAATGCAGCAGCAAGAATATTAACACGGACTAGAAAACAGGATCATATTAGACCAGTTTTAGCATCACCGCACCGGCTGCCTGTCTCTTTTAGAATCGGCTATAAAATTTTACTACTAGTTTTTAAATCTCTTAATGGTTTAGCACCTTCATACGTTTCTGAGTGCTGACAGATGATGCTCCTAATCGAGCTTTAAGATGATACGGTGCGTGTCTGCTCCACGTACGAAACTTAAAATTCTACGTATGAAACTTAAAAAGAGCAGAGAGGCAGCGTTTTGTGTTTATGCACCAAAGATCAAGACACATTACCAATAAACATCCGTCAGGCTCCTTCTGTAAATGTTTTTAAAAAACAGTTAAAAACCTTTACTTTAGCATTTAACTAGTTTTCTATTGTTTCCTTTGTTTTTAACTGGAATATGCTAATATTACTTTTATGTTCTTGTTAGTTGCATTTTGTCTTATTGTCCCTTTTCTTTTTATCCTGTGCTTTTTAATTGTATTTATTAATATATACATTTTCTTCTATTTATTGTTTGTTTATTATATTTTGTTTTTATTCTTGATTATCTTTTCTTCCTCTGTTGTTTTTACTTTGTACTATGAAGCACTTTGAGCTGCATTTTTAACTTCTGAAAGGTGCTATATAAATAAACATTATTATTATTATTATTATTATTATAGTTACACACACAACATAGTAACAGTTCTCAAGACTATAAAGAAGCTTTGATGGTGATGGTGGTGCATACCTATGTAGTCTTGTAGTTTAACATTATCTGCTGGTTTTAACAGCCCTTGCTCCACCAGCTCTTCATACAGCGACTCGATGGTCCTGAAGGGATAAAGGGATAAACTTGATGAAAAAATCCTCACTCACTCAGTAAGAAGGCGGTAACTACAGTACTGCACACAAACATCACACTTATAGCACAATTCACCTGTCTGCTGTGAGGTCTTTGTCTTTCTTTTTCTTCTTTCCACTTTTGGATCCCTTCTTTTTCTGTATGGAGAGAGAAAGACACACTGCCCTCTACTGCCTTCTCTACAAAACACCTGCTTTAAATATAGCAGGATAATCGCTCAGATATTACAGTCGATTTTAATTTCCAGATTCCAGCAGACCTTTACTGTGGCCTTGGCCTTCCCGCCTTTGTCTCCGTCCACCGCCAGCTTCCAGTTAGCAAGCTCCTGCCTCATCAGCTCATCCACCTGCCAAAACAGCATCAAGGCAATGTATCTGATTAAACTGATTAACACAGTTCAAAAAGAAAATGGGTTACTTTGAGGATCACACAGTTCTGAGGAAATGTAAGATGCAGCACTTAAATATCACTGTAAGTCCAGAATCAGAGCATCCGCCAGCGTTCATTAAACATCATTACAGGAAAATAGAAATATAGAGTATAGTAATATAGTGTGATTTACTCATTTAGAATAAAACCATTAAAGACATACACTAACATTCAAAAGATTGTAAGTGTTTGTTACAATAATAATTATTGTTATTTACAAACAATAATAACTTGTAGACTTATCTCTTATAAACTAGACACCAAAAGGTATTTTAAGTATTATTATTATTAGGTACACACTTAAAAAAGACGATCCTTCAAGGGTTCTTTATAGTACAGAAAATGTTCCTATATAGAGCCATGAGCACTCACAGAACCCTTTGCAAGATTAAAAGGTTCTTTACATCGTGAAAGGGCTCTCCAGATTGATGAAGAATGCATTGCAGAAGGTTCTATATAGAATCTTTTTGAAAAGGGTTCTATATAGCACCCAAAGGGCTTCTATTATGGTTGTGATATCAAGCTTGTAACAATAAGAACCCTTTTTGGTGCTACATAGAACCCTTGGTGCTATATAGAACCCATCTGAATAACCATTTCACGATGCAAAGAACCATTTAATCATGCAAAGGGTTCTTTGAGATGTTATGTTTCTATATAGAACCAGTTTCTTTCCTAAAGGACCCTTGAAGAACAATCTTTTTATTTAAGTAAATTAAGAAGTCCATATTTCATGCTTTTCATGCTGTTCAATTCTGTCCTGAGTTAAATTCTATACTATAATTACCTATTTACAATAACTTTATCATGTTTTCTACCTCAAGATTTAATTACCACTTTCCAAATATGAGACACTCTGAATATTAGTTCTATTATAACTTCCTAAGGTCTCCACATCTAATACTTCATTTATCTGCAAATGGGTGGCTTTTATATTGTTGAAAACATTCATTCCAAACCTCTGAATAGTGATCTTAAACATCTGAGTGGTAGAGAATGAACAAATCTGTGACTTTACAGTGACAATCACAACAAAAAAAACATTCTATATGTAATTATACAACAGTTATGTAAGGGTTTAGCCGGCCCGCCTGCTGCCAGCAGAGGGCAACAGCGGCAGGGTGTCCAGCCTGCGCCGCCTGCTGCCAGCAGAGGGCGACGATGGCAGGGTGTCCAGCCTGCACCTCCTGCTGCCAGCAGAGGGCGACGGCAGCAGGGTGTCCAGCCTGCGCCGCCAGCTGCCAGCAGAGGGCGACAGCGGCACAGGGCCATAACTTCAGGGAACTCCAATTCCCAGAAGTCTGCGGGCTGATTAGGCCCAACACTACACACCTGCGGACTCCTCTACTTAAGGTCAAGGCAAACAGTGGTGTTTGTCACACCTTTGTAGAGGGGTGACCGGTACGGTACTTAGTGTCAGAAAAGAAAAGAAAAAAAAGGAAAAGAAAAGAAATGAAACGAAACTGCCCCAAAACTAAAAAAGAAAAAGAAAAGAGGGCTGAGAGAAGAAACTGCCCCAAAACTAAAAAAGAAAAGAAAAGAGGGCTGAGAAAAGAAACTGTCCCAAAGCTACTTAAAGGGGAAAAAAAAAGAGAAGAAGAGGTCTGCATTCCCTTCGTTTTTGGAGTGGAAGTGTTTTTTGTTTTTCCTATTATCTGTCCTCTCGCCTCTCTAGTTCAGCCTTTGTTTGAGCACGCTGCTCTCAGCGTCTCTTTTGTTTGCCGTTCGTCGTTTTCCCGCCTTTTCTTTTCCCCCTTCCTTGAGGTGTTATTGCCAGTAGTCACCTGTGCTCCTCAGTGGCGCAGTGGTAACGCCACGACGCGCTGATCAATACATCGCCGGTTCGAACCTGGCTTTGGGTCACCTCATATGCATGTTTCAGATTCACAACCTAGTATCCCAATCAACTCATTTTTTCCATTTTTTTTCTGTTTCCATTTCTGCACTTGGGTCCGCCGTCCCGTAACAGGTTAGTTCCAGCCATGCAAGCTGATTGGTTGAGAAGTGTTCTAACTGTGCTGTTATTTCACCATAACATCACGTTTTTTTCACGAACACTGTATCACTCCACTAAGTTGCTAAGCAACGACTTTGACAGCTGTAGGAGCCGCTCAAGACATTTGAACGTTTTTACTTCTTACTTTGCGCAGAAACAGAAAACGGACACTTCAAAGATCACGTTTGACCGACAGCCGATTTGGTCAGACTCTGAAGATGAGACGACACTAAATTCCCAAACTGTCATCACCACTGAGAAGCTTTTCAGTCGGCAGCTGTGACAGAAGAACAGCTGAACAACCTGGAATCAGCCAGAAATGAACCCAACACCATTCGCCAAACTAAATGGGCTGTAAGATGCTTTACAGACTGGCTGGAACAAAACAACATTAATACTGATCTGGCAAAAACTGACAAAACTGAGCTAAACTTGATATTGCTGCAGTATTATGGCTCAGTCCAATTGGCAAATGGTATTCCGTTCATTTCTGGCTAACTCCAGGTGGTTTAGCTGTTCTTCTGTCACAGCTGCCGACTGAAAAGCTGCTCAGTGGTGATGACAGTTTGGGAATTTAGTGTGAGGAGCTGGAGAACGAACTGCCGGCTGTGCAGCGAGTGGGCGGAGCTCGTTACTCTGACGTAGCAACAAGCTGCTTGTTGAGGAACTATAATTTGGTGAAGGAACTGCGAACATTAAAACATATTAAACGCCGCGTTCACGGCCCAGTTTATTAATTTATTACTTTATTTATTTAACTGTTGTATAAAAGCAATAGAACACTCGGAGTGTGTTATCACGAATAACACCCAAATCACAGCTGTGATTTTATTTCGCGATAACACACTACCTCTTAAATAACTTAAATAACTCATGAAGAGTTGCTCTCCACAGACTCAGAGAAAGGGAGGAGTTACTGAAGGATCCTCCAAATTACCTGAAGTCTTATTTCTGCCTCTATCTCCTTCCTCTTCTCCTCTTTTATGAGTTCTGCTTCATGTCTCTGGTTAAAGTTCTTGGATTCATCTCTGTTTTGCCAAACATCTGTAATCAGACACAAAGACAGGTTTATTATCTGAAGATGTATTGTTGAGACTACTTTTAATTATTTAGTATCTACTATGAAACTAATGTGTAAATTCTGTAGTTAACAGAGTGAGGAATAGCCCAGATCTCTAGGGTTGGTTTCCCGTTCAGGGATTACTCCTAGTCCTGGACTGCAAAGCATTCTCAAAGCATGCAAAGACCTAAAGCTTTCTACGCTTAATCCCTTAAAAGGGTTAATTTAGACTTGCCGGTAAATGTTTTCTGCCCTTTCTGTAGCTCTGATAGAAAAGCAGATGGCAGCATCTTCAGTCCAGGCTCTTCTTCCTGTAACACAAGTTATATTGGATCATCAGATTAATTATTTTGTGAATAAAGGCCAAAGTTGCAGACCTGCAAACCTTGGGGAAAATATTTTGGGTACCACAATAGTGTACCCACACGGTCATCCCCCCACTCACTGCCATATCATCAAGTTGTGTTATTCAACAGGGGCTGCTCCTCTCTCTCCCCCTGTCAGTGTCCTTCTCATCTGACAGCACGTTTATTTTAACAGCAAAGGCCATTTTATAGTATTATACAAACTTCCTGTCTTTTTGTCTTATCTTAAGATCTGGCAGGTCAAGATAAGATTTTTCACAAAAGCTACAGTTACTGAGGTAAAAAAAAAGGTTACACAAAAGTAAAGCATGATAAACTTGAAGTTAATAATATTGTGACAGCACCCCCTGCTGTTTATCAGCGCAAACATTATTCCTCCTAATAAACAGACACGTGTCCAGCTCTGTCTCCTCATTATTCACCACCATCTCTGTAATATTTTATAATCAACAGTAACACATGAAGGTAATAAGAGGGGACGGTGGAGATCGAGTCTGCAGTGTTGGAGTTTTTTAAAATGCTGTTAGAAAAACAAACCTCATAAGTCAAAGCAGCGTTATCAATGTAGATAAATGACATTATTCTAGTTATAGTGAACTGAGCTGCCTGACACTGCATAAAACAATAGAAACAGACGGTTAAAACAGAAGTTAAGACGCTCTGGGGTTTATCTTAAAGTTAGGACAGTATTTAGGAGGTTTAGTCTAGTTAGGATGTTTCTGTAATACTGGAATCTGGAGTTAATGATAAGATTATGACGTTAAGAACTGTTGTTCTGTCCTAATTTCACTCCTAACTGAAGTTGTCATGCTGACTAAACTGATAAGATTTCAGACTTAAGAAGTTTCTGTAATACGGCCCCAGGTGACAAAATGATCTAAAAGGGGGAACATTTGTGCCTGTTAGCGTGTCGCAGATTTTGCCGCGTACATTAAAAATATGAAGGGTGCAGACGGTGTCGCGCGCTCTGATTAGACAGAAACTCAAAGTTCTACATTTTGGGGTGTGGCCGTGGTCACGGTGAGTGGCTGTGTCTACTTTCTTGCTGCTCCTTTGCTATGTGTGAATGGGCAGCGCGTGCGAGCTGTACCAGTCTTGTGGCTGCGCCACTCGTGCCCTGCGGAAACAGAATGGGTTGCCAGCTATTCAAAACTAGGGTCACTATACATTCATAAGACTATTCGTTTTCAACCATTTTCAGTAGCTGCAGTTCATTCAGAAAGCTGTCCAAGCAGAAAAACCACACCGCTGCAGTGTAATTTCACCCGCACTGCACTTTCAGACAAACCAGAACTTTTGGGAAAATCGTGAGTGAAACACACACCTGTGGAAAATAAGCAGTATTTCTGGTTCCTGTTTAAATCCCTCCTTTTAATGCAGCCCGTTTACCTTCACAAACGTTTACCAGTTGCAAATGCGAATGAGAGGGATAAAGACCATTTCGTGTTGCTGTCGATTTGCAGTCTCTTTAAATGATTGACATTACGCATCTGTCATCCCTGGGGAATTAACCCAGTGCTGTGATTGGTCAAAGTCTTTTTCTTTAGTTTTTTAGGAGGCCAGAAGCTGCTGCGTCTTGCTGTTAGATCTGAGTGCTGTACATGTACAACTGAACTCATAGGCGTCACCAGCTGTTTGCGTAGTGACAAATCATATCAGCGTACTTTGATGTCAAAATGCGTACCGTGTTAAGCAAAATGCGTAAAGGTTGGCAGGTCTGTGATATGCTCACCTCCTCTCCTCCTTTTGCTTTCTCTTTCTTCCCTTTGTCTTTAGTCTCTTCCTTGCCTTTTGGCTTTTTGTTGGCTTCCTCCTCTTCTTTAGCTGCCAACTCTTCCATTAGCTTCAGTGACAAATACAGTTAGTTACTAATAACAACCTTGGCAAATGGTGTAAATCAGAGAGTAGAGGGATGCACAATGACATCGAAGTCATATCAGTATCACCAGACATTTGCTTAAAAAGATCAGATTTAGCTGATATTTCAAAACGATATTTGGCGATATAGTTACTGCTCTTCAGAAGAGGAAGGATTACTGCACTAAAATACCTGCATTTTATTCATTTTACTGCTATTTCTATGTTTTCTAAACATGTATGCATCAGAATCAGCAAATATGTACATGAAAAATCAGCCCCTATCTATGCATCCCTCGCTTAACTCATGGAAAGGGTGGAGAAAAGTCTGAACAAAAAAACTTTGACTTTAAGCATCTTAAGCAAGGTTGTATCTGTTTTTGTTGGTTTTATATTGTATCAAATAAAATTACCTGCTCAGGTGTTTTATCCGCAAAAATGAGTGCAGAACCACCGTCTTCCTCTTCTGGGTAGTCAGGAAAGGAACCTGTTGCATCACTACACAAAAATGATTTACTTATATTTACAGACAGACACAGTTCACGAATAAATCAAAACTACTGATAACTAATTTAATAATTGGTGTAAAAAATGTTGATGCATGTATCTGAAGGTGTCGCGCATCCCTCTGGACTCCATCCTCTGGGAGATTTTCTGACTCCATTGACCTTCCCTCGCGCTCCAATCAGCGCTCTCACTCACCGGAATACTAATTCTGTTCACCTGTCTTGTGTATCATGTGATCTTCCAGGTTTAGTTTATAAGCCCGAGCTTTAGCACAGAATAGTTGCGAGGTATTGTATCATTTCTGATCTACTCAGTGTTCTGTTGTTTGTTTGACTCCTGTTTATGACCATTTTTGCCTGTTTTCTTGACGCTGTTACGTTTGTATCTCTGTACTGGTTGTGTTTTCTGGATTGACCCATGCTTGTTTTGTGACCACGGACCTGGATTGCGATTCCATCAGTAAAGCCTCTTTAGTTCTGACTCTTTCTGGGACGTTACAGAAGGTGCTGAATCAATTGCATCTAGAATTCCAGCAGCACTGCTGTGTCTGATCCAGTCGTACCAGCGCAACACACACTAACACACCACCACCACGTCAGTGTTACTTCAGTGCTGAGAATGATCCACCACCCAAATAGTACCTGCTCTGTGAGGATCCATGGGGGTCCTGACCACTGAAGAACAGGGTAAAAGGGGGCTAACAAAGTATGCAGAGAAACAGATGGACTACAGTCTGTAACTGTAGAACTACAAAGTGCACCTATATAGTAAGTGGAGCTGATAAAATGGACAATGAGCAGAGAAACAAGGAGGTGGTCAGAATGTTATGCCTGATCGGTGTATGTAGCGTGTTTGTGTGGTTCAGATTGCTTCATCCTAACGGGAGTTACAACAGAATATTCAGGGCCTCTTTCGAGTGAATCTCCCTGTATTTTCACAGCTCTAACACAGTCTCACTTACTGGCACTCAATGAACCACTGCCGTATCTGATCCTTCATAGTCTCCCTCATGTTGGGGCCCTCCAGCTCTCGGAGGCTGTTGGTGATGGAGATAAGGGATTTCTGGTAGTCTTCCTCATGCTCCTCCTGCTTAGTCCTCCTGCACGTCTTGGTGGCCTCCGAAACCGCAGCAGCCGGACAAAACTGGGGGAGGTTTTGGTCCATAGCCTACGGTTGGTACAGAGTGAGACCAGAGTAGAGTTTTCTTCATCAAACAGTGGTACAGCTCCACCTACTGACCACTGGTATATTAAAAATGACAAAACACATACACTCCTAAAAAAGATGGTTCTTCAAGGGTTCTTTAGTAAAGAAAATGGTTCTATGAAGAACCATGGACACTCGAAGGGTTCTTTGCATCATGAACAGGTTCCTCAGAATGTGCTGTATTTGAAAAAGGTTCTATATAGCACCCAAAAGTGTCCTTCTATTGTTAATGATGTCAGGCTTGTAACAATAGAAGGACCCTTTTGGATGCTATATAGAACCGATCTACAGCACATTCACCATCAATCTGAAGAACTAAAGAACCCTCGAAGAACCATCTCTTTTAAGAGTGTAGAGCAGCTTGGAAGTGCCAAATAGAGAGGTTTCTGAATAGCGATGAATGCAGACAGTCATCACATGTGGTAGAGAAAATGAACTGTACAGTTCCTCTTCCTAAAGTTTACAGGTGATGTTTTATGTAATGTTCAGATCTGAAATGTTTATTTTTGTTTATTTTATTATTTTATTTCTGTTAGATTGTAACGTGCTTTGTAATAACAGGGCTCTGCTGGAAATAAAGTTTCAGTCTCATCAGTCGTAGAGCGCAGTGCTCAGCTCACCATGCCCAGAAAGATCATCTCCTCTTCGCGCTCCTGCTTTGTTCTCTTCCTCTGCAAGAAACCTTTCCAGACCTGCAGAGAAAATTAGATTAAACACTTTTTAGATTAAACACACAACAGACTCTCAGTAACACGTCAGAAACATAGGAGGGTTAGGATTAGGTTTTGGGTTGAGGTTAAGGTGAGGGTTAGGATTAGGGTGAGGGTTAGGATTAGGTTTTGGGTTGAGGTTAAGGTGAGGGTTAGGACTAGGACCAGGGTTAGGGTTAGGTGTTGGGTAAGGTTGGTAAGGTCAGGTTTTGGGTAATGGAAGTAACATATTAACAACACATCTACTTAACGTAAGTAATGTATAATAGAACATCTACAAGATATTTACTTCAGTGTATTCAGATGCTTCACTACTGATACTTCACTGATATGTTGTTGATTGTGTTATTGATAATCAGTTGAGAGTTTATTAATCATCTAAAAAGGACCACCCCAAATACAGTGCCACCAAAATGATAAGGTGCACAGCAAATTCACAGTCCTTTATTTCAGAATGACTACATGTACAAACCTCTCACTAATTCATATCAATCACATGAAGAATATAAATTTTCAACAGAAAAAACAAACTATACTATGTAGATATGAAGGACATAAAGCAATTATTACTCCAGTAAGTACTACTACGGTGGCAGTGGTTATAAATGCCTTACTTTCTACATATTTATGTGGTACGATTACTCTTTCCTTCTTTGAAAAATGAGTCAGTCGACTCTTCATGTTTCACATAATTGGCTGTTCAGCATAAGTTACACCTTCATGTCCACATGCACGAGGACTGATCTAAACGTGGTGTGTGCAAGACCACCCTCATTTATTTAACTTTGCAGTCAAAATGGCAATTTGAACGCAAAAAAAATGAATTAAAATTTAAATGAGTTCCAGACAAAAAATGGCACTATGTACTACAGTATAGCATTTTCTGCCACTTCCTGAAAGCCTATAATACCTTTTGGATGCAAACTGCAGCCTGGTCCATGGTAGATGCCCCGAGGTCCCTGTCCTTAGACTTTCGCTGCCTCTCCTGATCCCTCTGGATCTCCCGCATGAACTTTGCCCTTAGGCGACCCTGCCGAGCCCTTTCCGTCACCTGAATAATCCTAATGGCCTCCTCCGCACTCAGGGTTCGCTCTCCAGCAGGCTAAGGGACGAAGCAAAAGGCTGTGTGAGGCCCAGATAGAGTGACTTCCATCTGCTAACGTCCATCGCACTGAATTATACTCACTTTTGGTTTCTCCACCACTCCCATCAGGTCCAGTATGTTGGAGAGCATTTTGCTTCGGTCTCTAAGCACTTTGCTCCGTTCCCTGATGAAATACCTTGGAATTGGAATCTCAAGGTCCTCCTACAACAAATAAAGTAGATGAAGTACATCAGAACACCCCATAAAACAAAAAACACAACATACAGGAAGAGTGGAGTCAATCAGTCAAACCGTGAAGAGGTCATATGCAGCCAATAATTCAATAAATAAACCAATAAATAAGCAACGAATAAACATCGTCTGTTCTCATAACTCTACCTAACACCCCAACATAGTGCTAAATGGGACCCCCCCATACAAACGTACAGGCATTAGCTTCAAATCCTGGATGACATCATCCATGTAGTGGTACTCTGAGAATTCCTTCTCCACCATCTCATTCTTGAGCTCCAGCACGCGACCCATAACACCATCCAGAACCTCTCTGATGAGTCTCCTCTTCTGAGGCTGAACGACCTGGTCATATGCCTCTTCCAGCTGCCTGAAGATCTGGATGTAGCGCACGTAGAGGGTGGCCAGCCGCTGGAAGAAGACCACTCTGTCTCTCTCCGGCTGTAGCGGCTCTACAGGTAACTCTTGGGTCAGCAGGCTGCTCAGCTCCTCATGGGCCTCGCCCCATAGCTTACTGTATGTACTGCAATGCAAAAAGCACAAATTCTGCTTGAATCTATTGGCTTCAGCTCCTGGTCCAGCCCTGCCCTGCACACTTTTACTGATTTAATACACCTGATTCAAGAAGTCTTTTCTAATTCATGAATACGTTAAAGCAAAAGAACAACTAAATGTGTATGGCAGGGGTACTCCAGGACCAGGGCTGTGAGCAAGGTAAACATTGCTTACTGCCCAGTGCCCTTGGCCACAATATTTAAAATATTTAGTCGCTAAAAAGCTCAAGTGGCTTCTTGTCTTGACATTCTTTGTTGGAGTCTTTTACCCTTTTAACAAACCTGTCTGTTCCACATGGAACTAGTTGCATTAAAAGTCTGAAGGAGACATTTTTCAAAACTTTCACAATTCAGTCATTAAAATGTACACAAAGCCATACAGAGTGGTTTGGTGTGAAACGCTCCGTTCTAGAGAAACTTACAGAGTCAGAATTGTTCACAGTGGTGGTGATAGGAACCAGACGTCCACCTCTAAAAGCTCCCTCACAGAAAGTCACTACGTGAAGTGGTTATGAATTCACTGCCTGATGTCTGAGACATTTAGTCCCCAGAGAAAACTCTATTTTTCAAATTTTCCGGTATTTGCCATCATCAACATTGCATATAAACTCAGAAGACGCGTGTAGGTTCACTGGTGGTTTTGGATAGTAAATAAAATATCTATATTTGTGTTGTAGATATGGTGACCCCTGGTTCCTATCACCACCACTGTAAAGAAATCCAATAGATTTTGTTTGTCAATTTTTTCAATTTTCAGTTTGTCAATCCTAGACAACATACTAAATACTGACATAGATGAAGGAAAGAGACACTAATGTTTGTCCCACCAATGTGCCCTGAGTTTTATTTGCCTGAGTTTTCGATTAATTGAGTTTCAGTTAGCAGACTTGGTCGTTATTGCTGGCTGTTACAGGGAAATTCCAAAATTTCTGTCATAATTCAATCACTGAGATGCAAACAAAGTAATTCAGAGCTGGTCTGATGTGAAAAGATTCACTGTCAAGAAACTTGCCAACTTAGATTTCTTCACAGTGGTGGTGATAGGAACCAGGGGTCACCATGTCTACAATGGAAAAATTGCCATTTTATTTACTTTCCAAGACCACCAGTGAACCTACACGTGTCTTCTGAGTTTTATATGTAATGTGGATGATGGTACAATAGAGGTAAATCTGGAAAAATGCATTTCTTTAGGGGCTATTTTGCCTCACAACTCCTTACATGTGCCCCTCCGCCATGAATGGCTTTAAAAATAGACGTTTTAGGCCAAAATCTTTACCTGAGAACTTTCTGTGAGGGGGGCTTTAAAGGTGGACGTCTGGTTCCTATCACCACCACTGTAAGTTTCTCTAGAACAGAGCGTTTCACACCAAACCACTCTGAATGACTCTGTTTACATCTTAACCATGTAATTATGCACAAATTATGCAAAAATCGGTGGAATTCCCCTTTAACTTTTCTAACCGATACGAAAGAATAAATGATAACGTTGACTGTTGACTGTAAATGATTAAGAAAGTTAGCCAGATATATATATAAATATATACGAAGCCGAAGTCAACTATTTTCTCGTTCCACCTTAAATGGTGCAGCAATTAACTTACATTCTGGCGCCTGAGGCACCATTTAAGGTGGAACGGAAAAATTCGCACAAGAAGCTGGCGAATAGGACGCAAACTTCAGCTTCGTGTGTTGTTATTTATCTGGCTAACTTTCTGAACCTTGGCTTAATCTTTAACAGTGCAGTTTAACGTACTGACCTGTGAGACATGGCCAAGCTGAGGCAGTGCAGTTAGCATAGACAGGTGACAGGCTGCGAAATTCACGATATTTATGCCATCAATATCGATCGAAACAGTCTTTAAATGGCATTCCAACAGTCCACCTCTTTAATTAAGAGGTGATAACCAGTGGTAAGTTATACAGCTATTTCCTAACTACGTTTTTGGGCTTATTAAACCGAAACGACGAAGCAGAGTTACAGCCCAAAACTAGCAGACCTGCCCGTAGCACACCGGCTAGCAACTCCGTATCCATGGAAACGGACACCGCGCAGAGGAGAAACCGAGAAACCTGAAACTACGGCTGCGTCCAAAACCGCACACTAGCGCACTACATAGTGACGCACCTTACAGCTCATCACAGTAGTGTTTTAGGGAAGCCCACCCATTTAGTAAGCCATGATGATGATAAAGTTTTCTGTGATTAGTATCTCATAATAATGACTTACCGTCTCATAATTATGGCTTAGTATTTCATAATAATCATAAAAATTCAATCTCATCAATATGACTTAATATCTCATAACTATGACTTATAATAATGGCTATGTCATGCCTGGCATCTCATAATTATTACTTACTTTTTCTCATTATCATGCAACAGTAAGTAATTATTATGAGATATTAACTCATAATTATGTGTAACTTTCTCATTATTTATGAGACACTAAGCCATTATTATAAGATATCAAGTCATAATTATGAGTAACTTTCTCATTGTGTCTCGCAGTAAAGTCATTATTATGAGATATTAAGTCATAGTTATGTGCAACTTTCTCATTATTATGATTCACTAAATAGATGTGTATTTTTTTAGTCCTAGTCATAATTATAATAACTTTCTCATTATTTATGAGACACTAAGTCATTATTATGAGATATTAAGTCATATCTTAATGGCTACGTTCACATTACCAGGCTGAAGTGGCACAAATCCGATTTTTTGCCCTAATGTGACTCAGATCTGATGTTTTCAGAGATGTGTGGACACAAATCTGATCTTTTTTTTCAAATCTGACCTGAGTCACTTTCTAATGTGGTCCTAGATCGGATACGTATCCGATTCATGACCATGCAACCTTAATGTGACGCTCAGATCGGAATTCGTGTGCTTTTTCTCCGCTGCACGTGCGCCATCATTCAACGTTACCATGGCAACAGCACCGAACAGAAGTTAAAGCCTGTAAACGGAGGAAAAGCAGCTCATCTCACCTTTTTCTCCTTCGTCTCGCTCTAATAATGAAGCTGAGAGCTGATCAGAGTTAATTATCTTCTCAGCGAAGCTCGTTCTGCTCGTTAGTTTGTGCTGATGATGCACGTGATTCATTCACGTGACGTTACTGAGTAGGATGAGCTCATGAGGGTCAGTTCAGGACGCCGGTTCGTCACATTAATGACAGATTTGAGTCACTTACCTAAACGAGTGTGAACCATCGTGTCAGAGAGATCAGATTTGAGCAAGAAATCGGATTAGAGCAATGAGACTTGTAATGTGAACGTAGCTTTAGATCTGCACACAATGACCTTCTGCGAACACCTACCATATAAAAACAGAAAACGTGGAGAGACTCTTTCTGTTATTTTGCTTCGAAACCGTGGAACTAAATTCACCTTTTATTAGTCAGTCAGGCTCAGTGCTCACTTTTAATAAACATAAAAAAAAATGTGTCTCTTTAACTTAAAATTCTACGTCTCTTTGGTAATTATCTTTTTAAATTAAGCTGTCGTTGTTCTATATGACTTTAAATTAATATTTATATTTTTTTCAATTACTGTTAGGATTTATCTCCTGTCTGTAAACAACACTGAGCTGCCACCAGTATGAAAAGTGCTCTATAAATAAAGACATTAGTGTTATTATTCATTGAGCTTCATTGAGTCTGCAACTCATCCAGAATGCAGCAGCAAGACTCATCTTCAATCTCCCAAAGTTCAGCCACGTCACCCCACTGCTGCGCTCCCTTCACTGGCTTCCTGTGGCTGCACGCATCAGATTTAAAACCCTTATGCTTGCCTACAAAGCCAAAAATGGACCAGCCCCTCCCTACTTGATTGCAATGGTCAAATCTCGAACTTTACCACGAGCCCTTCGAGCTTCGAGTACAGCTCGGCTTGACCCGCCATCCTTCAAGGCGCACGGAAGGCAAGCGTCAAGACTCTGTGCTGGCACCCAGGTGGTGGAACGAACTCCCACTGGCTTTCTGTACAGCGGAGTCTCTCGCGGTCTTCAAACGCAGACTGAAGACCGTCTCTTTATACAGCACTTAAATGAGCACTGAATTAAGTATTGATTGTAATGTATTGTACAGCACTTATGTATTGTATTGTATTGTATCGCACTGCTCTGTGTTTAACTCTGTCCCTTTTTCACTAGGTGTCAATGACCTTCTGATTCTAGCAGTATCTGAGCTCAGGACTGTCTTTCTCTCTAACCTATTGGTAACTAGCGAAGATACTTTCTCTGGATAGACAAAGCACTTTTTGTAAGTCGCTCTGGATAAGAACGTCTGCTAAATGATGTAAATGTAAATGTAAATTTTAAAAGCTGACACTCAGTAGGCACAAGTTCATCAAAATTGGACAGTTGAAGACTGGAAAAACATAGCCCGGTCTGTTGAATATCGATTTCTGCTGAGACACACAGATGGTAGGGTCAGAATTTGGCCAGAACAGCCAACTGTGGAATCCAACAGAATCCATGGACCCAAGCTACTCCAGGCTGGTGGAGGTGGTGTAATGGGGTGGGGACTGTTTTCCTGGCACACTTTGAGCCTGTTAAGACCAATCAATCATCGCTTGAATGCTACAGCCTATTTGAGTATTGCTGCTGACCATGTGTATCCATTCATATCCTCAATTTAGCACCTTCTAATGGTTACTTCCGTCATAATAATCCACCACATCACAAAGCAAAAGTCTCAGACTGGTTTCATGAACATGACAATGAGTTCAGGGTTCTTCAGCAGCCTTCCCAGTCACCAGATCTGAATCCAGTAGAGCACCTTTGGGATGTGGTAGAACAGGAGATTCGCAGCATGAAAGTGAAAAATCTGCAGGAATTACATGATGCAATTATATAAACATGGACCAGAATCTCAAAGGAATGTTTCCAACAATCTTGTGGAATCCATGCCATGAAGAATTGAGGCTGTTTTTAGAGCAAAGGGAGGCCCTACCCAGTGTTATTTCTAGCATTCCTATTAAAGTGTTTGGTGAGTGTATGTTGCACTGAAACAAAAGTATGCAGATAATCACAGACAAACTCCCAGGATCAGCCAGAGCTTTGAAGGAACCATTATCTCTAAACACCCAGGATTAAAGCTCATAAAATAATTAGGTTTGCTTATATAAGCATCACTTGCGAAGGTTGGAATTAAAGAGGTAGTCTAACGTGTTGAAAATCTTTAAATAAGACATCTGGACCGAACTGAGCTCATTCAAGAGAGAATGTGACTTTAGAGCATGGTAAGCCTTTGAAGAGAACTAACAGGGTAGACAGGGTTGTTTCCAATCAGACCACTTGATGTCACCAGAAGGCAGTCATTTTGCACAAGCTGCGTTATTGTATTAAGCAGTTTCATTTTATAGTAAATTTGTTTTTTGCTAGTTTATGTTTATGAACAGAGACCTACAGATGCAGTTTAGTAAAGGAAAACTCATTTGTGAACCTGAGTTTAAAGTTTTTATTAAAATTAATTGTAACTAAGTTGCAAATAAATCTTAAACTGAAACTTTGCTTGTTCACAAAAAGTTATTTCAGAGCCACTCAGTTCTACCTGATGGAAACTGTTTGTTTTGTGCTTATGATAATTTTAATAGACATCAGCTTCACTAATTAATGACACTCTATTAAAATATTGGTGTCACAAGAGTGACAATAGAATATTTTCACCTAAAATGAGTTGATAAAGCAGAGTCTTGTTACAAAAATGATAATAGGACTTTAGAACCATAATTCATCTCTTAGTACTTTCACTTTTGATACTTAAGTACATTTGAAGGCAAATACTTTTGTACTTTTACTCAAGTGGGGGTCTAAAGGGAGGAACTTCTACTTTTACTGGAGTAATATTTTACCTTGGGTATCTCTACTTTAACTCAAGTACATGGTTTGTGTACTTTGTCCACCACTGCTGATTTCTGAATTGTTTCTCCTAAACCTCCTCAGGAGAAAAGAGGAGATTAACATCAGCTTTTCCCTGTAAGAAGTTCTGCTGCTGAAGGAGAAAAGCTTGAGTTCTCCTTCTGAACTGAAGATCTCTGTAATATAGAATAGAGCTGCATGATGAGATCTCACACTTTTCTTATGGAGATATTACTCAGCTGAGGCTGGGCTGAGACGAGTCAGACACTAAAGAGTTAATCCACATGTGTGACAACATTTTGATCAAAGTGAGAAAATCTGAGTTTTATTTCTCAGGAGCCGAATTTCAGAAACAGGAGAAAATGGATTCAGTCTCACTCTGATCTCAAACTGGACTGTGTCCAGGAGAAGAACCTGAGATCAAAAGCAGATCTCATGTAGAATATGTCTTTCCTCTGGGGCATCATAAACAGGCTACTGAAGCTAATGGCTAACATAATGCAGAACTACTGGGTTGAGAGCTGAATTCTCTGCTGTGTTCCAGGTTAAATATTGTACTGAACTGTTTATGAATATTTTGGGGTCCCTAAGCAACACCCCATCCTCTTAATCATATTACTCATCATTTAAAACAAACATTAAAAAGACAAACTAATCATGCAGTCATATGCAGGTTTGAATGCCCTGTTCAAATGACGTTTGGTTGATTTTCTAACACGTCCTCTACAGAAAACACACTTAAATATGACATTTTCTGCATATTTTCAATTTATTTGCAGAGCAACTTTAGCACATCAAAATGTAGATGATGTGTTAACTTATTTTTACTTAAAGTCAACAAGTCAGGGGTGAAATGACATATGAAATTAAATGACAAATTTTTATTACTGTAAATGTAACTTGTCAATGTAACGTAGTCATAAAGGTTCAGTTGTCTGTCTTAAATTGCTTTCGATTTAAAGGTAAACTGCATTTACTGTAGGTATTTGTAACTTTTCATAACTTTTTAAAATTGAAAGTTGAAATAGTCTGGAGCCAAGAAAGGATTTCAAAGACTTCAAAAAAATACAAAAATACTAAAAATCTGGTACAATAATGTTCCCTGGCTAAAGGTACTGAAGACCTACCCTTGAGGGGTT